GAAGCGCTGGGATACTTTGACCCCCATCACAACAGAACACTAGACAGAGTCAGAAAGGGAAAATATACTCCATAACTACCTGGCAAAGAGGATCATAACACTTAACCCTTTCAGTACCCAAAGGATTCCCCCCCCCCCCCCCCCCAAACCCATTTGAAGGAGTTACCTTAAAATGGCTATAATTCAGTCAGATGTTGATGGATTTGTGTGTGTGGCCACTGAAAATATTCGTCATAGGACAAACAATCACAACATGGTAAAAATAGGTAGTGAATAATGATTTCGGACATCAAAGTCGCTTCAAAATCAGGCACATATAACATTTTTGCAGTCAAATAAATATGTCATGTGAATCTTATCAATATGACTGCCTACCTTTCTTTGGATTTCATCAACATTCATTAATGAAACGCTAAGAAAGGCATCTCTTAATGCGGCTTTGAATGCTTCCAAAAACACAGCCTGTGTGAGATGAAAGTCCAAATAGCTTTCTGCTGGTCTGGATCAAAGCACAGTTTCATGGAGCTGATACATAGTCAGAATCAACCTGTGTTTAACCTGCTGGGTTTGGGATCTTACAATGGAGGGGGGGTGGGCGGACCTGAGTGTTCCCTTTTTGTACTAACTAGATATCAAAGATAAGGTTACAACCAATGCTCTCATCAGAGGCAACAGGGGACACCCCCCCCCCCCCTTTTCACAAAGTTTCTCAAGTGAAAAATTCAATATCTCTCTTGAAACATCTAGTCAGTCTCCATTACAAGACAATATAGGACAGATGACAAACTCAATATTTCTTTACTCTAAACTGACAGGCGAAGAAAGCTAAACAAAATATATATTAAGAAAACGAACTGTGCATTTCTAAAAGTTCTAAATATTTCACGAACCTTGTGTATCTTCCTGATTCCGTTAATTACAGACATTTTTTAATCATTGCAATAATTACGATATAATTATGGATGATTGTCGAACAGAAGGTTACACACAGACATGTTGTATAAGTTACCAAGGCACGATAGGTACATATCATTTGTGAATCGTAATAGTGCAGACATTTACTTCATACAAAAAGAAAAGCCACTTTGTTTTGTTCAGATAATACATGTTGTTAGTAGTAGCTACCAAATAGATCCAACAGACAGGTCGAGCTGTCACGACACAGTACGTGACACAGAACAAGTTAAGCTTTGACGTGACACGCCATGAGAAAACTTCATATTGCCGGCAAGCTGTGTAACTGTCCTAATCCCAGATAGAAAGCATTTTTCAGGAGAGAGAGAGAAAAAAAAGGTTAATTCTTTTAACATTTATACCTTCTTTACCATGTATCTTTTCTTGCTTTTTTCTGCATTGAGAATTTGAATTTCTAAGAAATATTCCTCGGGCATACGCAACCGACACCAGATTAAGAAACTGCTACAAATTTTTTCTTTAAAACTTTGGGCTGAATAAAGCTGGCCGACAATATATGTATATATAATATAACTGTATGATTATTATAAGACTTCCCGCGACACCCAAAAGGATGTAAGCGGCGGATAAAAGAAAGAAGAAGACGATTATAAGACTGAATGAAATACTGACTGGCATAACTCCCATCTCTCACTCTCACTTACAGGTTACGGAAGAAGTCATGGATTGTGTCATCATAACAACAGCCACACACACGGCTGGGACAAGTTTAGTATACATTATGTACAGACAGAGACTGACCATCAGTCAAAGGCAGGGAACATTAACATTCCACAAAGTTACTACAGAAAACAAAACTACTCCACAAACATCTCCAGAGCTATCTACAATTTAAGTTACAAGGAAAAAAATACACAGCAAAAAAGAAAGGTGTTGTTCCCAGCAAAAGGCACAGATCCGAGAACAGGCATGAGGTAAAAAGCACCGTGACATCACAAAGACTTTGAAGTAAGCACCAGTTCCGTATCATCTGCAAGTTGTTCAGCTGTTTAAAGCCCAGAGAGTTGAACTTTTCAGGAGAGAGTATAGAGAAAAGGCTGGTTTGTTCTTTCCTTTACGTATCTTTCCTTTTTTTTTTTTTACATTTCATTTACAATTTGAATTAGTTCTCTGGCAAAATATGCCATGCGAGTAATACTGCAGATAAAGAAACTGCAAATAAAAAAGTTAGCCTATGTTTTCAAATTTTGGTCTTAATACATCTGAACAGCTGGCAGTTGATAGTGACATACAAAATAAACCTCCAGCAAAAGCACTGGTACAATGTACCGTACAAGTAAGTCCTCACCCACAGCATCGCCAAAAACTTTTCTCAGAAGTCGGCAGACCAAACTGAAAATTTACACAACATGCTCCTAATCTACAAAATACACACAACACGCTCTAAATCTACAGAAAGAACACACAGCGCTCTAAATCTACAAAATGCACACATTAAATCTGGGTTTCAATAAAGTCTGTGCTCATAATAATACATTGCATTTAAATTCTGATTAGAGAAGCAAGCAAATAGTAACCACTAAACCTTTTCCGTTACTACAACTGAGAGTCCTGTTCTGTTTATAAAAAGTTGTCAAGTAAACACACACATCGCGACCTCAGTGCTTTCTTGTCATATCTCCATTTTTTGAACAGTGAAAATGTGACTTCTTACACTCACTCTTTGTTATGAACTGTTTTCACGGTTTAAAAAAATAAAGCTACGACAAGAAAGCACTGAGGTCGCGGAGAAAATCACATCTACAGTATTACAAAATACATCATATAATTATATTCTATGTAAGTTTAGCAATCATAAGGCCAACATCCAGCCACAATGGTTTAGTTTATACTGCAACGCATACAGTGGATTCCACTTCCAGAGAAGTATGACAGACTGCTGGATTTTCTTAGGGTTTTGTGTACCATTGTTTTCCGATTAAATCCTTTAAAACTGTGATCGGTTTGAGCAGACTCCACTGTATTATTGACTATCTTGTACAGACTTTGGTCCAACAATCTGAAACAACTTCAGTCATGATCAAAACACGAAGACCATTATTATATTATAAAATGGCAGAGAACGTTTCCCTACAAGAAACTCAAAAACAACAGCAGTGGGACAGTAGGGTAGCCTACTGGGTCTACAGCAGGCATGGGCAAACATGACAAAGTCTCCAGCCAGACTATGCGCCAGATGAAGCAATTTCGAATATCTTGCAGGCTAAAGCAGAAGAAAATTGGGTGAAATTGTTTGAAATGCCCACATTCTCAGAAGTGAGACGTAACTGACACTGCAGCATGTGTCACTCTGTCACTCAAGGGCATTTCGTGAGATAAAAAAGTATGAAACTCCTCGAGAATCAGATCCGGCAAGAGTGCCGTAGTTTGCCCACACCTGGTCAACACAGCTCCTGCTCCGACAGATAAATGTGATGAATACAAACAACCAAGAAAGAGAAAGCAAAGTTTTTAAAAATCTTTCAGCCCTTATGCTTTGATTGACTTTGTGATGCCCTGTCCATCAATGTTCATGTGTACAATATCCATACAAATATACATACATATGCTGAAAGCTTACGGAAACGCTCCTCTCAGCTTAAAAACACCAATCACCCCCAAAATGTGTAAAAGTCAAAAACAAAAGAACCCAAAAAAGAAAATGCCGTAAAAAAAATAATAAATAAGCAATCACAGATGTAAAAATTTGTCACTTGACTAGGGAAAAACAAGTTATCTTACAGCACAATAAAACATGCGTGCCCGGTACCTCTGTAACTGACGTACCGTGTGTTATGTAACAATTTGTGTCACGACGTGGTGGAATCAGGCGCTGGTCAATGTTTGAGCATGTGGATGGAGTTATAGGTATCATCTGAAAGCTTATTTATTAGCCTTGCTTTCAATGAGAAAAATATCCATCTAGCCTGAATAGAAATGGAGATATTTGCGATTGAAGAAGGTGGGGTAGCCTGGTTTCAGTGGTTAAATTAATGAGAAAACGGCAACCAAAGTTTTGTAACTTCAATAGGTATAAGAGTCCCCGAAAACTGAAAATTACATATTTAGTGCCGTTATACAAGGTTTTTTAAAGTAAAATTATCATGGAAATGTGTTTTCATATATTATGAACATAAAAGGTGTTTAACCAAAAAACAAAATTTTGATAAAAATATCCAAACTAGTGGAAAAATATCCTTTTCTTCGGATTTCATTATTTTGACGAGCGCCTGATTTCACTATGCCTCACATTTATTTATTTCATGTATTGCATTCTCCATCCTGGACACAAGAACAAGATGATGTAGACAAGAGAAATATTACAATTAAGTTGGTCAAATACGCAGAGTTCTCTTATTGTATTTCTTCAGTCTTTTTTTTAGCTTTATGCCCTGTACCCTGCATTGGGTCCAACATTCAACAGTAGTACACAATACAAAAAGAGTTTTTTTTTAAATAAAAAAAGCATCAAATGGTGAAATTATCTTTCAAGGAAAATAAGTAAGTAAAACCATACAAAGTAACAAAATATGCATGAAGCAAAAAAGACAATTTTAATTAATATTTCATTGAATTAAAGTTTAATGTTATTTGCTTTTAAAAATAGCCGAGTCTTTTTAGCTACTTCTGAGAACCCTAATTTGTCTGATAATAATCAAAAGGAGACACGAGCCAAGAAGTATAACTGTCATGATCTAATTACCACAACAAATTAGTTCTTTTACTTTTAATGAACTTGACAAATGGAGTCTTATTGTTATGAATGGTTCAGGAGTTATCATTTCCTGATTGATAAACAGAAGGGAGAAGCAGGGGGGCATAGCTGATGACCCCAAAAAAATTGAGAGAAAACTAAGTTTAAGTTTACTTACTTCAAGTACTAAAAGTTTACAATTTCTAAATCAGATTCTATTAAAGAGAAACATTTGTGAGCAAATCACAAGTTTCTGTTTGATAAACTTATTTAATTTAATCTTTATTCTTACTTTTAAACATTTTAGGACGCTACAACCATATTTTCTTCTTTTAGCTGATTTTTTAAATTATGGAATATCAACAACCGAAATCATATTGTGCGCTGCCACATGTCATTATAAGTTTTAAAAATTGCTTAATATGTACAATTCAAACGAATTTGGTTCCACTAGGAAAATGCTAAATATAAACACACTCTGGCCATAGCCCTACTACAACAATCATGCAAAACAAAAAACAGGAACTATGGCAAATGCAAAGACAGTTTTCGTAGAAAAAGCAAAGTCAGAATAGAAAAAGGAACAAAACTCACAACAGACGATTCAATTATAAAGGAACCCTCAAGAATAAAAAGATTTATTTTATAATCTTTCCTTTCAAGCGATTAGAGAGACGAATTGGATTCTTTTTGCTTCTGTCAAACGGGTTTATTTCAGTCGGACCGTTGGTCCCACATACATTCTCTTTTTCGTCACTAACACTGCCTTTTGATTTGTTGGACTTCCCCCCCTCACCTGACGAGCCCCTCTTCAGCACTCCTTTTTCTTCTTCGCTATTCTTTTTCACTCCGGCTTGTTTTCCCTGCTCGTTGCCCCCTCCTCCCTTCCCCACGTTGTGGTCAGGGTGGCGAGGTTTCAGCACACGTTTGGAGAGACGGTCGAAGAAGCTGGAGAGCGCCGACTTCCTCTCTCCTTTCCTCCCGCTGCGGATGAAGTCTGCCGGTAGTTCTATCTCTTCCTCCGGGGGAAGCGCGACGGTGGGGCCTTTGACGAGAGCCATGGGCTGGGAATAAATGTGTTTGTGCCCCCGGGCCTCTAGGTTCAAGGTTGCCAAGGTCATCGAGCTTTCAGGTCGCGCAAGTGGAGCCTTCGCATGTAGTTGCTCTCTGGTCAGCTGATCCTGGTACCTGCCGTAGTAGTCATAGCTAGGTGTTATCACCAGGAGTAAAAGTTGAGTCATGTCTCAAAATGAACAAAATGGGTCGTGAGGCAGTGGAATCAGGTGCTCATCAATTTTTGGGCATATGAAGTTATTATTGGTAACATCTTAAAGCTTGTTCATTTGTCTTGCATTTGGTGTTTAAAAAATACCAAACTAACTTTAATAGAGAAATATTAGTAATTGAAGGAGGTGGTGGACATCTGGTTTCAGAGGATATAAATTAGTGGAAAAAATTGCGGCCAAAGTTAAGTCACTTCCATAACTTGAGAGTCCTCGGAAACTGAAAATTTACATTTTTTGTGGCATTAATCAACGTTTTTCAGTAATTTCCACAAATAAATATTTTTTCAAAAGGACGTAAAAAGTGTTGAGCCACAAAAAAAAATCTGGAAAAAATTCCATACAGACAGAAAAGTGCCAATTTCTCTGATTTCATTATTTTGACAAGCGCCTGATTTCCCCATGTGCCTTACAAAATGATCCTCAGAATGAGGGGAGAAAATGGTGGATGGCAGTATGATGAAATCCTCGGTGACAAAACATAATGCTGGCTAGCTGTTCAGACGTATTTTTAATTGAGCCCAAAATTTTGACATTTTCTTTAATTGCAATTTTTTTTATCAGTTACATGATGCGCTCAAGAAATATTTTGTCAAAATTCAAATTCTAAATATTGGGGGAAAAAACACCCAAGTAGAATAAGACTTTATTATAGTTCTATACACAAAACTCACAAAGCCATCAGAAACACTTTTTCCACAGCACAGCAGGAATCGCTGTCATGGTGGGAACATTATTGCATATTGGACCACTGTAAACTCTCACTAACAGGTGGGAGTGGTTGGTTGGCGGGTGCTCTGGTGTGGTCTGCTCCTTTTTTCCTATCAAAGATCTATCGTCCTTATCTCTCCTCCTTCTTTTTTGTGTTTGTTACTCTCTTGTAACACCTCTAATCTTCGGCACTTATATGACCTTATTGTGTTGCAAGTGCCGTAAAATTCTCACTAAAACTAAAGCAGGTGGGTACTTCCACCCTCGGATAAAGCACTGATAGCTCTGCTCATTGACTTCATGGTTAGCACAACCAAAGTCTCCGTAACACTTCATATATATAGTACGGTATCAGAACACTATATGCACCAACACAGCCCTATATGTGAAGCAGCGTGGTGAAATCAGGCGCTCGTCAAAATAATGAAATTGAAGAAACTGGCATTTTTCATCGAATTTTTTTTCTTTGGCATTATAACACAATTTTTGTCCAATTAAGAACACATTTCTAGGTGGATTTTACAGAAAAACATTCTTCATTTAAGGCACAAAAAAGTCAGTTTTCAGTTTCAACGGACTATCAAGCTATGGAAATAATCAAACTTTGGAGGGTATTTTATCGCTAATTCTATCTTTGAAACCAGGCGACCCCACCTTTTTTAATCTAAAATATTTTGACTTCTATTCAAGATAGATGGGACTTTTTTCTCACTGATAGCAAGACAACTGAACAAACTTTATGATACCAATAACTCCACAAACCCAAAATTTGACGAGCACCTGATTCCATCATGTCATGACATATATATACATATATATATATATCAGCAGAACCCTTTCTACCCATCAAACCCTTTATATCATCAGAGACCTTTATATATCGTCAAATCATTAATATACCAGCTTAATATTTATTTAAGATATTAGAACCCTTTGTAAATACAATCAGAATTTGGTATTTATATACTATCAGAAGTTTTTATATACCATATCAGAACCCTTTATTATACACCACCAGATATATATACCATCATCAGTCAGAACTCTTTCTTATACCATCAGAACACTTTACATACCATAATCAGAACCCTTTCTATACCATCATCAAACACTTTCTACATCATCATCAAACCCTTTCTATACCACCACCAGAACACTTTCTATACCACCACCAGAACACTTTCTATACCACCACCAGAACACTTTCTATACCACCACCAGAACGCTTATTTCTATAGCACCCTTTCTATACCATCATCAGAACCTTTCTATACCATCATTAAACTCTTTCTATACCATCATCAGAACACTTTCTATACCATCATCAGAACACTTTTTATACCATCATCAGAACCCTTTCTATACTATCATCAGAACACTTTTTATACCATCATCAAACTCACTCTATACCATCATCAGAACACTTTCTATACCATCATCAGAACTCTTTCTATACCATCATCAGAACCTTTTCTATATCACCACCAGATGACACTAAAACTCAGAAGCTCAAGAACGGAACTCGCGACCTCAGTGCTTTCTCGTCGTATCTCCTTTTTTTTAAACAGTGAAAATGTGAATTCTTCTTAAGCTCACTCTTTGTCATAAACTGTTTTCACTGTTATTAAAAATGAAGATACGACAAGAAAGCACTTGTTTGTTTGTTTGTTTAGTATAGGGTTTTACGGCACTCGCAACTGCATAAGGTCATATGAGCGCGCGGGACACACCTAATACTTTTTCGTTGGTAGGAAATTTTGAATTTTGCCCGGGTGGCGGCCGAAGCCTACTCTTATCGATTTTAGACCACCAAGGGATCTTTAACGTGCACAACTTGCACACGGGCACTCCGAGATTTTTCGCCCTTGTCCGAGAAGGCTAGGTGTAGATCTTTCCTACCAGAAGATCAGGGGTGTGGTAGAAAGACAGCTGTAAGAAGGAGTCAAGGAGTAGCAGTAGAAAGGCTGCAGAAAGAGTCAGGAGCCCAGAGGAGGGGGCAAGGGAGATGAGGGGGTGGGGGCAGAAAGAGGAGACAAAAGCAGACGACAGAATATTGCTAGAGAGCAGGAAAGGAGGTGAAAGGAGACAATTTTAGAGAAGAAAATTTTTCGGTCGCTACCCGGATTCGAACCCGGGACCTTTGAATGAGAGGTCAACACCTTAACCTCTAGGCCACGAGAGCCCCCCAAGAAAGCACTGGGGTCGCGAACTGTGGCTCTAGTTAAGTTACACACCTAATCCACTTGCCAGTCACGCTGCTGGAGTTGGCCAGGTCGCTGCGACTACGGTGGTGCCTCTTGGTGCCTTGCATGGCCGTACGTACTAACTGTTTGGGAAGGGCCATAACTGGGGCTTTCTCCTTGCCAGAGTTAGCGGCCGTGTCCGCAATGTTTTTCACTGCAGCAAAAAAAAAAAGTTTTTAGTTTTAGTAGAGGTTTTATGGCGCTCTCAACAGCATAAGGTCATATGAGCGCCAGAAGATTAGAGCTGTTACAAAAAAATAACAAACATAAAAAAGAAGAAGGGGCGATAAGGACAATAGATGTTTCATAGGAAAGAAGAAGCAAACCACACCAGAGCACCCAAAAAACGAAGAAAACTTGAAATGATTCAAAGTAAAAGGCTGCTTGTTTGAGTAAAGAGGAGCACGTTGTGTTTTAGTTTTTTTAGTGTAAGTGTGAGTTTTAATTTTACAGTACCTGCACCACAAACAGGTCATGATGTAAGTGTCTAAGAGACACAAAGTTGAGAAAGTGGAACACATCACCATGCAAGCACACAGCAGCAATCCAACGGCAGTTTTGCAAAGCGATGAGAAAAAAAATTTTTAACGAAAATTTTGGTCATTTGATTTGGGGGGGGGGGGGGGGGGGGGCGTGTGGCTGTGGCATGGAGCGAAATTTAACTTGAGGGTATGTGTGTGTGTGTCAACAGTGTGTGTGTGTGTGTGTGTGTGTGTTGGCTTTGGCATGCAGCAAAAGTTAACTTTTATTTACTTATGTCTCATGACGAAAACCAAAACTGACCTGAACTGGTGACAAGTCTGGTGCCCAGTTTGAGCGTGCTGATGGTGAGTTCGTCGTCGATGAGTTCGCTGCTCGGTCGGTTCATCATCGGGGTACCCATCAGACTGATGCGGCTTAGCTCCATCGGGTTCAGCTCTCGGTCCGGCGTGGTGGTGGTGGCGGCCGAGTGGGGCGCGGGCTGGACGCGCGGGGATTTGCTGGCCGCTTCTGTGCGGCGCGAGACCGATAGAGACGTAGGAGGAAGTCCGTTGTGAGCGGCGGTCGCTGCCATGGACAGTGCCGGGTTGAAGTTGCCTCGGTGAAGTTCGGTCACGATTGTTTCAATCACTTGTCGCTTGTCCTCCAGTATAGACGAACTGGCACCTGGAACACACAAAGACGCAAAAAACTGAATCAGTTTCGTTTTAGTAAACAGTTCTACAGTACTTGCAACACAAAGATAAGATAAGTTAATACTTTATTGTCCCAGACGGTAATTTTTCTTGGCTCTACAGGACCGTAAAAACACATGCAGGTATACATAGAAATTAGATTATATATTACCTTCATTAAAATTCAATTTGAGAAAAAAAAGTAAATCTGACAATGTACAGATCACATCAGATGCATCATTTACTGCAAGACCTTTAGAGTTGTATAGATACATGAATATAGAATGTTTATTCTCACAGTAAAGTCAGTTACGTTACACAAGTGCCGAACATTAGAGATGTTATAAGAGAGTAACATACAAAGAAAAGAGGGAGGAGAGATAAGAACGATAGATGTTTGAAAGGAAAGAAAAAGGACAGATAAGGACGATAGGTGCTTGACGGGAAAGAGGAGAAGAGATAAGGACGATAGGTGTTTGACAGGAAAGGAGGAAGAGTTATAAGGACGATATACAGTCAAACCTGTGTAAGACGGCCACCCATTGTCAATGAGAAAAGTGGCCGTATATGACAGGTGGCCGTCTTAGGCAGGACTGATCAAGATGAAGAAAACAAACCCTTCCTTTCTGAGAAAACAAACTCTTCCTTTCTGAGGTCCCAACCGAAGGTAGTTGCATTGTTGATTGTTGTTGTTGTTTTCGCTGGGTTTTCTTTTCTTTTGTTGCTGCTTTTGTGCACGGGTGACAATAAAACGAAATGTGTCAGACAAGGGGGATCAAGTGCTATGGTTAAACAAACACCCGTACTACCACTCGGAGAACAAGCGACGCTTCTATCACAAGTTCATGTTGACGTCCATTGTTACTTTGTTACAGACTGGGTAAATAAAATAGTGACCACTCATCTCACTTGCGATTTGTGTATGGGTTCTGGGCGGGGCTTATGGGTTATGATGGATCACATGCTTACCTCACCAGCAGCTGTAAATTAATTTTGTTACCTATTGGTCAACAGTGGGAGGGGCCTACACAACATGATCAGTTGGAGGGACTACCTAGCAACGACAGGTTTTTAGATGATGGCTCACCCACAACGCCAGGGCCTAATGCACAATTTATGACAAAGCGTAATGGAGTCACTAAGATGGCCGTCTAAGACAGGTGTTTTTGCTTTGTGTGATAGGGGTTGTGTGTTGAAATATAGTGGCCGCGGCCGCGTTGGACAGGTGCCCGTTTTACACAGTTAAAGTATATAGAAAAAACGCAAGGGGGGAAATGGAAAGTGTCCGTTTGTACAGGTGGCCGTCTTATAGAGGTGGCCGTCAGGGCAGGTTCGACTGTATGTGATTCAATGTCTCAGCCGATAGTCCGAGATTCTCTGAAGGAAACTTCTCCACTCAGGTATCAAGTTCATGATGTCTTTTGCAGGTAGTGTCGTAGGAGCCTAACTAACCGTCACACCAATTTTACCAGACGCCAGTTCTCCACACGATGTTGTAAAAACCTACCGGCCTCTTGTCCAAACTGAAGCGCCATGCTTTTCCTGCGCAGTTGTCGGCTGAACATATCGCTGTGCCTCACCGCCTCCGTCTTCTGCTTCGACATCAAATGCACCTCCTGGAGGGATCATAAAAAAACTTGTCTCATTTACAGGATGGGTCTTTGGGGTTTTAAACCCTTCCAGCCCCAGCTATTTTTGAGCACCCCCTTAGAGTCAGTTTCCAGCCAATACAGCAGTATTTCAGAAAAAGAGGCATGCATTCTAAAAAGTGATGTAGTATCTTTGTAATAAGGTTTAGATAATAACATATAACAAAGTTTAAAGGTAAATGAACAATTATGAAAATAAAAGTTTAATAAGGTTCGCTGCCATTTCGAAAAATGCCCAAATTTAGTGCACCCTGAAACTGAGAATATACGCTCTTGGGACGGTGGGAAGTACAAGCGCAGCAGAAAATATACGCGCATGGGACTGGAAGGGATAAAAGAAGTTTTGTGGCATTTGCAACACAATTAGATTATATATAAGTGCCGATGATTAAAGATGTTACTAGAGAGGCCCCAAATGCTGGACTATTTTCCGGTACACTCTTCCTCAGTCTCAGATTTTGTTATGTATGTACAATGAAAAGGAGGAAAGAAACGGATGATTGATGATGTGTGACAAGAAAGAAGGAGCAAACCACATCAGAGCACTTGCCAACTGCCCACATTTATAGGATGGAAATGTTTGTCTATTTTCTTGAGCAAAGATAAGCTCATTGATATAATAACCATCATTTAGTGCAGGGAGAGAGCAAAACAGAGAGACAGAAGTGACAGATAGAAAGAAAGGATGTAAGAACTAACTGTGGCAGCCCAACCACTCGCAGGATGCAAATGAAGCCACGAAACAGCTGATAGTTTTGATAAAAAACTCCAGAAGCTCAATTTTCATTTAATTACTAGTAGGTCAGAACCCCTCTGTGAAACAAGATTAAAATAATATAAGTGACTATTCCCAGTGACAGTGGGGATAGGTGCAGAAACTATTCCCAATGACAACAGAACTCTTTTGCATTAAAAAAAATCAGAAGTCTTTGCTCTGTAGACTCTCTTCTCACTTCAGTTCAGTACTTTTGTTCTCTTCTCTTACCTAGGGCTTAGACTTGACTGTAGAATAGATCTAGATCTGAATTAGAACTAGAATCTAGAAGAAAGAAGAATCGGGAAGGATTTCTACCTGTCCTGTACCGTGGTCTCCAAAAACCGCATGTTGATCTAAATCTAGATCAACACGTACATTTAATTTACGACAGAATAACAAGCAAGCATAGAATGACCATTCCTTTTTCTTTAAAAAAAATTCTTCCACTCACACCACAATCTACTTTAGTCTAGTTAGATCTAGTATCTAGAATATAGATCAACATAAAATATAGTCTAGTATATTTAGTAACCCATCACCATCATGCCCATGTAGATCAGTGAAGGAACAGTAGATCGAATGTTGTTATTATGTTGTTATCGATCCAGGAGTAGATCTAATGGGCCTGTCTGTTTCAGTGTCACTGGGAACAGTTTCTGGGTCTATTCCCAGTGACACTGGGAACTATTCTGCCCTAAGCCCTATAGCCAGTGGGTTCCGGACTTATTCCCAGCCACACTGGGAATAGTTTCTGGGCCTATCCCCAGGGTCACTGGGAATAGTGCTTTCCAAATCATATTAGGAGTAACGAAGAATTCAAATCACAGAAATTTGTTATATGATTTAGAGTTGTCTTTAGTAAGAGTTTATGGCACTTGCAGCACAATTAGGTCACATAAATGCCTGAGTTTCTCACCTGCCTACACGTCCTGAGCTCTTTGAAAAAGTTGTGCAGCGTCTTGAGACAAGTCTGCAGCTCAAACGTCTCCGACTCGCAGAAAAACTCGGCCAGGCGCTGCGACTGCTGCTTCAATTCTGCTATCTGAGCCTGCAGTTCACGGAGATCTCTTTTCACATCCTGTAACGAGCCAAGCATACCACAGGTAGAGATAGAGATAGAAGATAGAAAAAGAAAAATATCATGATCAATTTTAGAAACTTGAATCACAATGGTAAAACAGTACAATCAAAATTGTGCACCACGACCAACAATTGTCCATGAGAAAACTGGTTGTCTTAGGTGGACTTCTAGGACAATGTTATTATAATATACAATAACCGGGAGGCGAGGGCAGAGGATTTCCTTGAACAAGTGTATAAGAAAGTTACTGAGGATCAGATGGACAGATAGGGTCACCAACGAGGAAGTGTTATCGAAACAAGACAGAACCCAGTCAGAGATGAGGAAGGAAGAAGGCGGTGGCGATGGATTGGACATACTCTCAGGAAAAAAGGCAGCTGCATTAACAAAGAAATTGTTGGATTGGAATCCACAGGATAAGAGATTAAGGGGAAAGCCGTGTGGAACCTGGAAAAGAATCACAGAAATTGGGGTACAGAAAAGTTGGAAGACATAGAATAACATCAAGAGGCTAGCCCAGGATAGAGAAAGGTGGAAAGTGTTTGTCCGTGGCCTATACCCTGATGCAGCGTGAGAAAGGGAATGATAATAATAATAATAAATTACTTTTATTTGTCCCAGAAGGGCACTTTGGTTTACAATGGCAAACATACATACACATACAAACATACATAATTATAATAAACACATACATACATAAATACAAGCACAAATACATACATAAGTACACAATATTACACAAATACCGAACAGTTTACAACCATGCCATTGTCGGTGCAGCGCCCTGTATTTTGAGCTGGGGTTGTCGAGTCTTGCTCAAGGACACACCCCACTGACCACCCGGCACCCATCTGATCCCCGTGTCACTGATACTTGCTTGACATTACTTGAGTCTAAACTCACTACTTACTTAGCCACTGGAGCCCCCCTAAAAAATGATGATGATGAGGGAAGAGAGCTCTCGTTTTTCTCAGAAAGGTAACCATTAGAAGAAGTTCAACTGTATCTTACGATTAATTATCACCTCCCATACATGTAGTACCAAGAAACCAACGTTTTATTTTCTTTGTATATTTTTTCAAAGGTAAGTGATTTTACACCCCCATCAGCACAATTTTTGATCCCCATCAGCACAATTTTTGATCGTTTTGGGAGGCAGGCTTGGACTCTGCCTGCCAGGGCGAACCCAGACTGAGAGGGATACAGTATCCCAACAGAAAGAGAAAGACCAGGATACTCAATAAAAGCACGATGAGCCGTATTATTATAGACCAAAACGTTAACTCATTCCCTGCCCATTACCGATATATCGGTAGCGCGACCGCATCATTTCCGCCCATTACCGATACATCAGCACAGGCTATACTCAAACTTTATTTAGTTCGTAAATGCCTGATCCATAGTTTTAAGTTTAGATATAAACAAATCTCAAAAGTAGAAGCTTCCTGCAACGAAATATAGTGTCTATAACTACGTAAGTGGGTGGAAAATTGAAATTGTTGGAGTATTTTGAGTAGTGTGTTTGTGAAACCAAAACACGAAGGATGATCACACCCATTTTTAGTTCTAGCTATGTTTTCTGGGCCTGGTAGTAAACGACCCTATAGGATAACTTGTAAAACAGACTATGGAATTTTTCTTTAGTAAACTTGAGGACAGAGATGATATTGTCTTAGAACCCTTAGCTTTAGATTCTGATTCAGGTGATGATTGAATCGAAAGTAAGAAGCGTGAAAGACATAATTCGTAGATCTAAATCTACAGTGATAGTAAAGAGGATAGTTGGAAGATGGGGAAGTGAGTGAAATTCTTGAAATGAAAGGGAAAGAAAGCCAAGAGAAGTGAAAATCAAGAGGATAATGACCTAGATCTAAGTCTAAATCTAAATCTAGAATTGGACAAGTAAGCGCAACCCAGGCACATTACAAACTTTGGTATTGTCACAGAGATGTTACAAAATTGATAATAAAATCTACTAGAATTGCACAATTCCATACATTTTTGCATGAATAAGCAGGGAATTGAACGTAACATTCATTTTATGAATGTAGGAATCTGTTTTTGAAATACAAATTTTATTATAGTTTATATTCAAAGTCGGAAATTTAGTCTGTCTTTTTATTAGCTCCCATGTAATGGACGTGTGTTCTCTGACAAGTATCAATTACGTCCTTTGCCTAATCAAATATTTTTTTACACATTTCAATTATACGTTTTATTACCTTTCAAAATAAGTATGGTATGACACTACCTACTTATTATTTCATTTTACTCAGGAAAATCTCTCCCAAACATACACACCTATCATTCACGATCGGCATGCACAGAGAAATCCAGTGAAAGCTGGTATAAAAATGGGAAGAGGATGAGTTAAGTTTAGTTTGAGAAAGGTTTTACGAAGCTTGCAACTGAATAAGGTCATATGAGCGCCAAGGGGAATCCAACTTACTCTGCTCACCTCTCTAGCTTCAACAGCACAAAGTCTGCTTCGACTATCAAGGCACCCAGGAAATAGTGGGTCACAAGAGTGTGGCAAACATACAAAAAAAGAAGAGAAAAAATGACGATAGAAAGGAGTAGGAAAGAAAAAGCAGCAGTTCCCTGTTGCAGTTCAGGCACAGTTATGAGCATGACATTGATGAATCAGCCCATTTACAATTACAATTCTACTGTGCATAAGAACATGGTTAATGTCCCCATTTTGGGAATGACTAAAGACACTTCAGTCAGTAGCACCGCCCCGGGGGGTGAGAACAAAACTCTGAATCTGGTCACAAACTACAGACACATTTCACAATGTTTGATAATCCAGACATCTGAGATTTACCTCCAAGAAGCCGTGAAAACTTTTCTGAACGACCGTGTTGGCAGAGGACAGCTGGGAGACAAAGGTGTTGATCTGACCGTTGATCTTGTCAAAGTCACTCTTTATGTCGCAAGGGCTGCAGCTGGAAAGAGGGGCAGAAATAACATTTTCACTCCCATATAAAGCGTTTGAGCAATTGATTCAGTAATTTTAATTCCTTTTGAAAAACTCCAGTTATTCCATATACAGTACTCAGGAATTCTAATTATTCAAACAATCATTTGCATAAACTATTCAAAGCAAAATAAAATAAGATACACTCTTTTATGTGCAGCAAATAGCTTTATGAACCTTACAATCAGAAAAATGTCATTCGTCCATTGCGTTTTTTCCACATTATAATGATACTACTGTCTAACACAGCCACTTTTCTCCTTGACTGTATTTTACTTTAACCCTATCTCTATGCCCTGGGGTCATTTTGCATCCCTGCAGTTGTATTCTTCACATTTTAGAATACTTCTAGTACGAAGATCTCTTTGAATTTTTCAGTATTTCTCAAAGTCATTTTGACAGACTGCTATGCAAAGCATACGGATCGGATTAACGAGTAAATTTCCTCTTTGAAAAGTGGCAGCACAGAGTTCCCCACGTCGTACGGATACGATAGTAAAACACGACGTACGGATAGGGTTAAAGCATCCATTAACAAACAAAAACTTGCAGTGTATAAATAAATACAAAATGCTACAACAAACCAGTCTCATGTTTTGGTAAACTCTACCTAATGGCTTTATCCAGCTTGGAGATCTCGTTGACAAAGGAGAGGATGCGGTCATCTGTGCTGTCCACCAGACCGGTCAAGTAATGGACAAAGTTGTGTCCAGCTTCCTGGCACTTCACGTCTGCTAGACGCACCAGGCTGGATAGTTTGAAGCCTTTGGCGTAACCGTTGAACTGACCCTGAGGGTACCGGACACATACAATTTTGGAAACCTTAAGAAGCTTTTCTCAGACGTTATAGTTGGCTTTAGGTTTAGTAAGCTTTACAGCACTTGCAACACAATAAGGTCATATAAGTGCCAACGATTAGTGTTACAAGAGAGTAACAAACATTAAAAAGAAGAAGGGGAGATAAGGACGTTAGATGATTGATAGGAAAGAAGGAGCAAACCACACCAGAGCACCGCCAACCACCCACGGAATTTGTTCATCTACAAAAGCACTTGTACATGTTCACCACACAAACAAACACAAATCCATAGCACAAGATCAGTCAGGACATGAAATGTTTGTTTTAGTAGAGGTTTTACGGCACTCGCAACTACATAAGGTCATATGAGCACCAGAAGATAAGAGATGTTACAAGAGAGTAACAAACAAAAAAGAAGAAGGAGAAATAAGGATGATAGATGTTTGATAAAAAAGAAGGAGCAAACCACACCAGAGCACCCGCCAACTACCCACGGAATTTGTTTTATAACAAATACTACAAAAGCATTTCTACATGTTCACCACACAAACAAACACAAATCTATAGCACAAGATCAGTCTGGACATGAAAAGAAACAGGTTCTAAAAATAACTTATTTATAAGAGGTATCACTTAAGAGAAACGTACGAAGAAAAGGAGGAGGAGAGGTAAGGACAATGAATGTTTGACAGGAAAGAAGGAGCAAACAACACCCGAGTACCAACAAACACCCACACTGAAAGTCGGTGGCTTAGTGCTTAAGCTCTCGGAATATCCCATTAAGGGCCCGACGTTGTGTCCTTGGGAAAAGCACTTTACACGAATTTTCCTCACTTCACCCACGTGGGAATAGGAACCCAGCTATATTACAATTGGTCGCTTTTAGCCACAACGGGGCTATCTCGAAAAATGCTGTTTTGAGAAAATTGAAGGTAAAGTTTTTGCCCCTTGTTCAGTTTCTTTAAAATACAATGAGAGTTTTCTCTATAACCAAACAAATATCTACACACCAATGAAACCAAACTTCTCTTATAGGTAGGGCAATGCCCACTTTGGTGTAGATCAAGATTTCAGGAAACCCCCAAAATCTGAGATAGCCCGTTTGTCCTTAAAAGCAACCAATTATTATTATTAAGTCTTCTTACATGGTTGAGGAAGTTCCCCAGTCGCAGGATGAGCGCCAGGACCTCCCGTAAACCGTCGTGCGACAAGATGATCCCCGCCGCCTCCAGCGTACTCGCCAGCACGACCTTGAGCTGCGGGATCTTCACGCTGAACTCGGCCCGCCTCAGCTGACCGGTGAGGAGCGTCTGGTAGTCTGGCAGGTCTGACAGGTGGAGGACAAACTGCTCCGCCTGGCCCAGACTCTGGAGATTTCCATTGAACTGTTTCAGGTGCTGGATCTGAGACATAGTAGGGAGAGAGAGAGGGTTTTTTTTCGTAAGAGTTTTACGGCACTTGCAACACAATTAGGTCATATAAATGCCGAAGATTAGAGATGTTACAAGGGAGGAACAAACACAAAAAAGAAGGAGGGGAGATAAAGACGATAAATGTTTGATAGGAACAGAAGGAGCAAACCACACAAGAGCACCCGCCAACCACCCACAGAAAGAAAGTCAAAATCAAACAGGAAAATAATCTAGCAAAGGGAGAGTATACGTACATGATAGTAAAATCTGAGACAGAGAGGGAGAATGTCAAATAGGAAAATAGTCAAGCAAAGGGAGAGTATACGTATATATATATATATATATATATCGCTGGTGGAGTGATGAAACCTCGTAACCCCAGAAAGGAAAATTTTACAGGAGAGACAAAAAACTGATTTACTCTTGAACAAAATGACCTATATGAACCAAAGTTGGTACAGATAGACAAAAACACATTAGAAACGTGGTTAGTACATAAAAATAACTTTTCTATTGTTTATGTGGCTACGCTGTGGGATGCGAGGTTTCATTACAACATTTTTGTCGTGATGAAACCACGTAGTCAGCCGGCGGGTGGGTTGCGAGGTTTCATCAGGACAGAGTTTGAGGGTTGCGAGTTTTCTCGCTGCTCATTTTGGTTGCAGTAGGTGTCTGTTGTTTGAAACGCCACAAAATGATAAAGATGTTTATTCAAAACCAATTGGTTTAGAGTTCGATTCCCGGCCAACTGAAGTCAAATAAATGTGTGTTACCAGCAGAATTTATGTTTCAATCCTCAAACGGATTGCAATTAATGCAATTTGTTTCACTATAATTTGCCAAGATTAGATCTAGTTACTTCCAGTTTTACTAAAAAGCACAAATTAATAATAAATCTCTGCAATATGGTCTCTGTTTGCACTACAGATGGTTTTCATAAGAGATGTTGAATCATAATGAACAACTATTAATGTTAATAGTATAAATTGTCATAAAGTGACGATGCATATTGGCAATAACAGATTTAAGCACCTGCAGGTGATTGTACTTGAAGTGTTGGAACTTTAAACGTTTTGTGTAGAGTTGTGAGGTAGGATGGACCTTATGTTTCTGTGTCCAGCCTTCGGAACGGCAGACCATTCATCCTTCAAGTGCATCTTGAACTGGATGTTCATGTCTGGGATATACTTCAAACACCTGACAACAGGATCACTCGTTTTTCTACCTAGTCTTGTAGACTTGTCGTAGCTTCCACACTTAGAATCTTAGAATATTCCTTGAAGAATGTGTGATCCAAATATTTATTTTGATAAGTTTTTTGTTTTGCTCTTGCCATCATGAAGAAATAGAGGTAGTCTTGGAGGACCTCGATGCGTTTTTTTTCGAAGCGATCTCTTAATAGTTGAGTTCACACTGTTAATTTCCATTTGTGTGTGTCATTTGATAAAATGTTTCTGTTCAATTGTGCTTCCATCTGTTGTTGAAAAATGGCTTAGAGAAACATTGGCTAGTGTGGCATTTCTGTATTGGTAACCACAGTTGTCGATGTCAGTAATGGTTTACTGGAAGTCCAGTTTTTCCTTCAGGAAATCCAATAGACATGAAGCTAACTCATTTGCCATAAGTCCCCCTTCTGCTTCATGACACACGTAAAAAAGTAGTCTGACGTGTTGCAGCATCCAATAGCGTAAAGTTATGAACGGCGAGTTTTGTTTTGTAATCTAAGACTGATGCTGAAGATCCATTGAAAGTACGGCCGTTTTAGGTTCATTACTGGCGACAGATTTGATGGTTTCAGATTTATCTCGTTCCTTTTCTTTGCGCGCTGCTTCCTTTTCTAGAATGTTAGCATTCCAAAGATCCTCCAGCACATTGTCAACTTCACGACTGATGCAAAGGTCGCACATAATATCTATCTTTGACAGGAATAGCGACAGGTTACTCTGCTTGAATGCTTCATCGAGGCCGGGTCTGTTGAGAGGCCGCCTTGGCAGAATTGTGCATATATTTTGTAGACATCTGAGTTGCTTTGATAATTATTGGTTCTAAATGTTTCTTACAAATCATTCATCCAACCCAGTTCAATTCAGGAACATCTTTTAACACACTGGCACCTTATGGCCACCTTTTGAAAGTGTTTCTTGAAGGTATTCCCTCTCTGGTTAGTCTCTGAATATCTCCTCTGAGGTCCACTAGTCATCCCATGAAAGGGTCCACACTAAATCAAAATTAGAATGTCTATCAACTTCAGAGAGCCCTTTACATTTCAGAGTCCAGCTCTTGCAATCGCAGTTTGGTTTCAATAACTTTGTTGGGCTTTTCATTGAACCTTTATGTATTCCGATCTTGTCCTGGTCCACGGAAAGCTTTTCGTTTATTTGTTGTCACTCCTGAAAACCCTTTCTTTTCCTCTGTGGAGCATCATTTATGCTGGCATCACAAATGAGCTGTGTCTCGGGATCAGGCTCCTGGAAAAGTGGCTAAGGTGCCTGAGTATGGTCTACAAATCGTGTTGCTGTGACCTCGAAGGTAATAATTCAGCATCTGACTTACAGCTGCCTTGTGAAACGTCAGTATAGTTTGGGGTATGATTCCAGGCGACACTATTGTTGGTGCAGACTCAGTCTGGGATGATGCTGATACTTCCTTATCTCCACATATCAGGGATAGCCCTGGAAAGGACTGCGACATGGAGGGTGGGGTCAATTCATGGAACGTGATCTGCTCAGTGGTTTCCAAACCAGCCCGTGTAGGGTATAAAGATCTAGGTGATGAGCACAGTTAGAAGGAGTTATTCAATACAGATTCGGAAACGTCTGTATTACTTGTGTTGTTGGGGCACAAATTTGTCACAATATTCTCTAAAGACTTCAGAGTCATCAAGACCATGGTTAAGTTCAGTACTATTCGGTCTCAACCACAACTGAAGGATTCGACTACACAACGGATTCATAGTCTGAGACTCATCCGGGGCAGTGCCACTGACTGAAGTGTCTTTAGGCCATTCCCAAATGGGGCGGGGGGTTTCGTTCTAGTGCACAGTAGAATTGTAAATGGGCTCATCTAACAATGTCATGCTCATAACTGTGCATGAACTACAACAGCTTTTTCTGTCCTAATCCTTACTATCGTCATTTTCCTCTACTTCTTTTGTATGTTTGTCACACTCTTGTGACCCGCTATTTCCGGGGTGCCTTGGTACATGTAGTCGAAGCAGACTTTGTGCTGCTGAAGCTAGAGAGGTGAGCATAGTAAGTGTGATTCCCTGTACGGACTTCTCTGTTGACATTCAACCCTTGGCGCTCGTATGGCCTCATGCAGTTGCGAGCGCCGTAAAACCTCTACTAAAACTTAAAATAGTCTGAGAATATGCGAAACCATACCTTCTCTTTGATAAACAAAATGGCCTGTTGACATCTGGAGAGTGCACAGATCTGTCACCTAGTCTTAGTAAGGACTACCGTCACCTGTCATTTCAAGTTGTGACTGTTGCCTTAACTTAAATGTTAACTACGTTTGTGCTCGATGAGAACATCTTGATTACCAACACGTTAGTCATCCTTATGAATGGATTTTTAAAAATATTTACACAATGTAAGTACCTCACTTATGACCATATTTGAATTTCTGAACTGACTAAAATTAAGTGAATGAATAAAAGAATGAATGAATGTATGGATGAATGAAAGAATGAAATATTTCTTAATTCCGTCAGATACATTAAATGCACCAGACAATGTCAGTTATGAGCGCTTCAATTAAGCTAATTCATAAAGAAGGCTTATCCAGAACCTCGTATAAGCACGCCACTCTCTCGAACCGGGAGTGATGAAACCACGCATAAGCAGATCGGAGCACCGGGTGAGGGTTGCGAGGTTTCATCACGCCAGGATATCAGGGGGGCAAACATACGAGGTTTTTTTATTAAGTTTTTTTCATACTTTCTCTTACTAATTTAACCTTGTGCTTTTGACACATCGTGAAGAAGGACTGGGAGAAGACATTAAGCCAAAAAAACGAATTTCGAAAAAATTGAGGGTTACGAGGTTTCATCACTCCACCAGCGATATATAGAAAAATCTGAGACACAGGGAGAGTGTACATACTTAGAAAAGTCTTAGTAAGTGAAAGTGTTTTACGGCACTTGCAACACAATAAAAGGTCATTAGAGGTGTTACAAGAGAGTAACAAACACAAAAAAGAAGGAGGGGAGATAATGACGACAGATGTTTGAAAGGAGAGAAGAAGCAAACCGCACCAGAGCACCGGCCAACCACCCACAGCAAAATCTGAGACAGGGAGAGTGTCGAATGGGGAAATAGTCTAGCACATATACATAGCAAAATTGTCAGGATGCGGAAATCTTCTTGCTATAAATCGAATTTCACTACGAGCGTGTTTTGAATACAAAGAATATAAACATATCAAGAAAAAATTTGGGATCTGAAAATCAGTTGGCTATGCAAGACTGTATGAAAACATTTCTTCTTTTAACCCCCTCTATATCTTTGAACGTGGGCTCTTCACCACACGGTATATTGCACATACAGACAACATATGACAACATTAAAGAAAGGGGAGAAAAACAACAGAGTCATCAGCTTTTATTATTTTGAGATATACCCTATCAGGCCTGCATGATGTATCACGACGCGGTCAATTTTTACCAGTGGAGTTATTGGTATCATCTAGCTTAAAGCCTGTCCATTTACCTTGCTTTTGATGAAACAATACCCATTTATCTAGGATATTTGCGATTGATGGAGGTGGGTTCGCCTGGTTTCAGAGGTAAATGTAGCGAGAAAATGGCTGCCAAAGTTTAGGTATTTCCTTAGCTTGAGCGCATGAGGAAACTGAATATTTATATCTCTTATGCATTTAATCAATGTTTTTCCATTAAAATCCAAAACTGAAATGTGATTTTGATGGGTATAAAAGGTGTAGAGCCGAAAACAAACATTTGATAAAAATTCCCAAACCTGCGGAAAAATGCCAGTTTCTTCACTTTTACTTTTATTATTTTGACGAGCGCCTGATGATTTCACCATGCTGTCTCACATATGATTTAATATAAAGTAATCTTTTATTGGGAAAAAACGGTACAGATTATGTAAAAATATACTGACAAAATGCTCTGTTCTTCTTTAACACTTTGAGTTCACTTGGCGCAATAATTAATGCGCTAGTGAAAATTATCCGTTATGGCCCGAGAAGGCCGTTGCAGCCACTCTCCTGGCTGGGTGACCAGATGGGGTATTTTGTACTGCTGGCTGTGTGACTGCAAAGTGTCAAGACAGGAAATTCCAAACTTAAAAACTATGATGACAAAGATCTCTCCAAAACGTGACGGTTACGCCACCACCCCCCCTCGGGCTGATTTAATATCGTAACGAGAAACTGTTAACCAACCTCTTCGTCCTCCGGCAACACATCCATCAAGTGCTTCATGAAGGCGACGGCCAGTGGGGGGCGGTCCACGCGCACGAGTCGCCGCACAAGCTCCGCCGGCTCCTCCTCTAGGCGGTTCAGGAACAGGTTCAGGTTGAGCCGTGAGCTGCGACTCAGAAGTGGCATCTGCCGGGGAGACAGCGGCACAGATCAACATTCGGAACCCGCAAGGAAACACGATGAGCAGGAGATTTTTTTTGTTCACGAACTTTTCCTAGTTTTCAAGTCCAGTTTTAGTAAGAGTTTTACGGCACTTGCAACACAAAAAGGTCATATAAGTGCCGAAGATTAGAGGTGTTACAAGAGAGTAACAAACACAAAAAAGGAGGAGGGGAGATAAGGACGATAGATGAATGATAGGAAAGAAGGAGCAAACCACACCAGAGCACCCGTCAACCACCCACAGACCCCCCAAGACTTTTCCAAGAGCTCTCAAGACCAGATTTTTTTTCCAAGACAAAAAACATGTCATTTCAAAAGAAAATTTCTCGTTCAGCATGCAAAAATACATTATGGAACACTTCAGAATTAGCAAGGAAATATTCTTACAATAGATCTAGTTAAAAATTTGTTTTTCCAAGGCTTTTCCAAAAACTTTGCCAATGTCCCAAAATTCCAAGAGTTTTTCAAACCCATATGAACCCTGAAATACTAATAATGTCGAGCGAAATGCTCGCAGCTAAAGAGATCTGAAAACAACAACAACTAACAATAATGTAGATCATTTTTATAGCATCTACTCCAGTGTGCCCACAGCTCTAGACGCTTTACATATTTGCAAGTACAAGTCTTTGTTTTACTAAGGTTTTAAGGTGCTAGCAAAATAATAAGGTCATATAAGTGCCGAAGATTAGAAGTGTTACAAGAGAGTAGCAAACATAAAAAAGGAGGGGAGATAGAGAAGATAGATTTTTTACAGGAAAGAAGGAGCAAGCCACACCAGAGTATCCAACAAGCACCCACAGTACAAGTTCATAAATGAACAAGAACTGTGTTCTCATAATGTAACATAACCGCAAGAGAGTAATAACGAATAACGTACCTCAGAGTTTTCGTCTAACTGACTTCTTCCGCGGAACGTCTCCTCCACCTGGGCAAAGTCCGGCCTCACTTTGGACTTCCCAAGGTCGATGTTCGTCCACACACAGTGCGGGAACTTTTCTGAGAGGAACAGAATCGGTATAATTCGAAGGACTTTCTTTTAGATATTTACAAGATAGCTTTTCTAAAGGAGATATCTGCAAACGAAGAACTTTCCTTAAAGAGACATTGGCAATCAAAGAGCTTTCCTTCTGGAGATATCGACAATTAAAAAAACAAGTTAAAGCATTAATTTAATTAAACAAAAATTATTTTTTTCAGTTTTGAGCAACAAGTGACAACATGCTTCCAAAACATGCAAAAATAGGCAGCAAATTTGGCAAAAACAAAAATACCACTCTCAAGAGGTCCAGCAACAGCTTCAGAAATTTTGATTTTGAAAAATCAAATACAAAGAAGATTAAACATTGGATACTAAAAGACTCAAAACAAACCTGAGTTATTTTCCTTGTGAACAAAGTGTATTTCGGTGAACATTTCTAAAATAATAACTGATGGCATCTCAAGCATTGCGAGGATAAAGAAATATAGTTTTTATAAGAATGTCCACGTGTCACGGTGCAAAATTCAAGAGAAATAAACTTTGTGTACATTTGTTATGAAATTACCTTGACTGTTTTCCTACTATCAGAGCCATGACAATAAGCCCACATTTAATGTAGAAGCTTTAGAATTCTTTCAGAAAAACAAGCAACTTCTTGACTTGTAACAGATGTTTGGCTGATCATAAAGTACTTTGGAAGCATTTCTGACTTTCAGACATGTAGCCTACACAACATTTAAAAAAATTATGAACTTAGACTTAAATCAACATGCAATAACAGCTAAAATTGTCATAAAACTTGATTTTTGCCTCCAGCCTGCGATGTATGTCTTATGATATAATAGTTGGATCGTTTCTAAACTAGGGAACATATATATGGCACACCTAAACATGTATAAAAAAAGGTAAAAACAGCCCCAGACAGCAACAAATCATACTACAGGACGCAGAAAGTCAAAATGAGGCTCAAGTTTTGCAAAAAATCTAGTTCTTTCGCCTTACCAATTCAACTTTTTAAAGCTGATGAGTTCTTCATATGAAAAGATTATGAAGCAAAGCTTTGGCAACAGCTTGAAACCACGCTATCCAAAATAGATTATTTAAACGACGGCTCCCATTTTTTTAGCAACACAAGCCTCATTTTGATGAGCCACACGTAATGATGTGCACTTTCAAAAATACAAAATGGAGGTTCCCAAGCTGAATTTTTTTATACATGGGGGAAGATGCAAGATGCTTTTATCTAACTATAATTCAGTGCAAACACTGGCCGAACTACGCTTTTATGTTGGATGGAAAAAAGCATGAACTAAACCTGACTGGCAATGACCAGTGAGTATGAGCAATAAATAAACTGGGGGTTTATAAATAATTTATTGTCTGGCAAGATAGCTGTCACATTGAATGACCAAGTCACATCTGTCTGTCCATATGACACACAGTGAAACATGCACCTACTCGTGCTAGCAATTACAGGGCAAAATTGACCATATATAGGAGGTCATACAAAAACGTGCTATCCTCTCAGGCAGAAAGATGTAAAACTAATTTTTTTAAATTCTTTACAAAATAAAAAGGTACTTTGTATAAAAATGATGCTTTCATAATACTTTTTCCTTTTCACCTGAGGATAAAGAAGAAAGCGTAAATGTTGAGTAAATTCCTGCTGGACAGATTATTGTTTCTGAACGGTCCCAAAAAAGAGCCTGGAAAACCGTGGCAACCATCAATCGGAAAGGACAAAAACTATCAAAGAAACACAAATCCAGGATTAACTCTTCAGGGGGAGACAAAAGAAATAAAGATGGATGATGATAGTGCCCATTTGTACATATGATACACCATTCCGATACTGCAAAATTCTTACATCAAGAAGGGGAAATGAGCCATCAATATGAAAATGAAATTCAGTAGTAGTGACATTCATTCTTTTACAGAAAACTCAACCTAGATCAAGGAGGCAGTCCACAGTTTTTTCACCTCTTTGTCTTCGAAGTCATAATTATCAGGAGAGAAAAGAAGAACCCTTTCAGAATTTTCAGAAGGTAAGAAGATAAGAGCTTAGCTTATGACGAGCAATTTAGTAACCATAACAAAACACAACAATTATCTATATTTTAAAAATAGCATTGACATGCCCAGCAAATGCAATGGTCATATTGTCGAAAACACAAAATCATGTAAACACTTCATGACCTCAGTGCTTTCTTGTCATATCTCCATTTTTTTAAAACTGAAAATGTGACTTCTTCATAAGCTCACTATTTGTTATGAACTGCTTTCACTATTATTAAAAACGGAGATATGAGTGTTTAGTGGGTGCTCTGGTGTGGTGTGGTGTGGTTTGCTTCTTCTTTCCTATCAAACATCAATCGTCTTTATCTGCCCTTCTTCTTTTTCATGTTTGTTACTCTCTTGTAACCCCTTTAATCTTTAGCACTTATATGACCTTATTGGGTTGCAAGTGCCGTAAAACACAGATTAAAACTTCGTTTTTTCAAGTTTTAGTAGAATTTTTACGGCGCTCGCAACTGCTTAGGTCATATGAGCACCAGAAGATTAGAGGTGTTACAAGAGAGTAACAAACATAAAAAAGAAGAAGGGGAGATAAGGAAGACAGATGTTTGATAGTAAAGAAGAAGCAAACCACACCAGAGCACCCGCCTACCATCCACAACTAAAACTTAAAAAATGGAGATATGACAAGAAAGCACTGAGGTCGCGACGTAGTCCGTAGGTTTTTTTAAGTTGTGCAAATATATAATCTGTACTGGGAAACTCACCAATAGCCGACTCGTCCAATTTAATCCACTTGAGGTTTTTCACCAGCCCGGCGGGGAACGCCAGCTGATGTTTTTGGTAGCTGATGAAGCTGTGCTGGCCGAGGGGCTTGCGATGAGAGGCCCCGCTGGAGCTACCCACCGAGTTGCCCTCTGACTTCCTGGGGTCCGGGTGAGAGCCACCAATGTTGAAATTCCCTGGAAAATTGAACTTGTTTCCCATCTCGGAGTTTTTGACATTTTCAGTCGACAAAGCGGGCAGAGTTTTTGCAAACAAGCCTTCGGTGTTCTTAACATTAAGCGAGTTGAGGTCATTCAGTGCATTAACGACTGCGTCACAGTTCAGATCTCTTGCTTTCAGCGGCATCTTGACAGGCGACATATTGTCGTACTGGCTCACTTGTCGACTTTTCTTCCCCGAACAGCGCGAGGCATCCATCACGCCCCCGTCCGGTTTGTCCATTTTCTCCTCGTGGGCAGAATCAGGGTCTGACACCAGGTCAGCACCGTTCACAACATCTGATCTCTGACCTTTGACTCCAACCACATCAGTCTTATCCTTCAGCGTGACCGACGGAGGGCTCAGCTTATCATCAAAACCCAGGTACCCGGAATCAGCGGATGATTTCAAGGATACAATGTCTCGCCTAACAGACGTGGAAGAGTTCCCCCGCATGAACCCCTGTGCGTTGTCCTCATGCGATGCTGTCTCGCCCAGACGGCAACTCTTTAGAGTCTCAGTGTGTAGATCCGCGACGTTGAACATGGATGACAACACGCCACAAGCGACCTCGTCCGATTGAGTCGACATCGAGTCCACGTCCTCCAGCCCGTGTACAATATGGCGAACGTGGCGCTCCAGAAGTTGCCAGATTTTGTCCCTGTGAACAAAGGACATTGAAATCTTGCCTAGCATCTTGTGAACAAAGTACCGTACAGTACACTCTGGCCTGGTATATACTCTGGTTTGTGACATAGTATCCAGGAAGAAGCCTGTTATGTTACAATTCAAGTACAAAAAGCTAAACGTGAAAATCTTTCCTCAGAACTCTTTTTTTTTTGTAATAGAGGTTTTACGGCGCTCGCAACTGCATAAGGCCATAAGAGCGCCACTTCAGAACTCTCTCAGCATAACATCAAAATGGCTGTAATAAACAACAAAAGGAAGAAATAAAACCCAATGATTGGTGGGGGCTTTTTTGTCAATGCATTTTAATTCACACAAAAATTTTTAATGAAGGTGTTTTATGCCACCATCGACATAATTTAGATCATTCAGCAGGAAATGGAGAAATGGTATAGGATTAACGCCTCTATCAACGCAATTAAGGTTATTTAAGAGGCGGAACCTCTGAGTTTAACGAACGTCCATTTCCGAAAGGACCGAGCCAGGCGGGAAATTCGTGTAAAATGCCTTTTCCAAGGACACAACGTCGGACCAAGCTGAGGCTCGAACCCTCAATCTTACGATTACAAGTCCGGTAATCTAACCACAAGGCCACCGACGCCACTCATTCAAAAGGAGAGCTTTGGACACTACATACTACTTGTCAGTGCCAACCTGGGCTGAGAGGGTTACAACATCACAGGAGAAAACCCCTGACACTCAATAAAAACTCTCCCCACACAAAAATGAAATGTCGGTCTCCTGCATGCAACGGAGAAGCACCTCTAACTGCTACACCAAAGACGCCTGTTGTAAATTCTTGGCCATGTTTAATTAAAGACCTCACCTTTTCTCTTTCTCCAAAGTCTCCAGAGCCAACAAGTCTTGCAGAATGTTGACAAAGCAAACCATCTTTGAGCCTCCAAACACCTAGCGAGAGAAGGAATTGACAAGGGTTAATCGCAAATTTTCTTTTCATGGTCAAAGAGCAAACATATTTGTAACATTCGTCCACACGTAATGTTGACTGACAAGTCTTAATTGTTAGGCCATTAGACACATGATCAAAAGGCAAAGTTTGATTGCTGGCTTTGCTGAATCCCATGATATGTCTTTACGGATAAATATTTTATACAAAATTTCCTCCTTCCACTCCAAGGCAGTTTTAGATTTAGTAAGTGTTTTACGGCACTTGCAACACAATAAGATCATATAAGTGCCGAAGATTAGATATGTTACAAGAGAGTAACAAACACAAAAAAGTAGGAGGAGAGATAAGAAAGATAGATGTTTGATAAGAAAGAAGAAGCAAACCACACCCAAACAAAGAACAAACATTAGCTGGGGTGGTCAATCAGCGAAGGATGGGGGTTTGGTTCAGACAGATTTTGTCACTGCTCTGCTTGAGACTGGAAACTGGGATAAGCTCCTGCTCGTAGCTCACAGGCCCAACTTACTGGCACTGGGAGAAGGATGTAGAGCTTTCAACTAAAGTGAGAACGAAATCTTGGGACTTTTGGGAATGGTGAGAACACTTAGGCAGGACTCCAAATGTACGGATCATTTTGTCTAATAAACATCTCGTGTCAAAACTGTTTTTATATAAACTATTTTTTTTAAACGCAACAACTTCTCAACAATTGTTCTGAAGTCAGGCAAAACCTGGACTATTTAAGACTTATCCACAAATTCTGCACCTCTGACTATCATTTTTTTTTAATCCCTCAAAACGAATCACAGGTTATCTAAGCTGTGAGCCAGTACTGTGCTGACAATTAACTTGCTCCCTCTGAAATGTATAACTGACAGTGCTAATGATGCTGCAACGACAAATAAGAACAAGGCAGGAGGTCAGAGAACTTAATTATGAGTACATTTCCATACAAAAACACAAGCCTGGTACATTTAGTAGAGGTTGGTTGGTGGGTGCTTTGGTGTGGTTTTTTAGTTTTACTAGAGCTTTCACAGTGCTCGCAACTGCATAAAGACATATGACCGCCAGAAGATTAGAGGTGTTACAAGAGAGTTACAAACATAAAAAAAGAAGAGGGGGAGATAAGGACAATAAATGTTTGATAGGAAAAGAGGAGCAAACCACACCAGTGCTTGCTTCTTCTTTCGTATCAAACATCTATTGTCCATATCTCTTTCTTTTCTTTGTAGGTTACGCTAATCTTCGGCCATATAAATGACCAATTTGTGTTGTGACTAAACATTTATTTGTAACAGCACATTGCGGCTGACACAGACACAAGCACGACACAGCTAACACAAGCAGGACACAGCTAACACAAGCACGACACAGCTAACACAAGCAGGACACAGCTAACACAAGCACGACACAGCTAACACAAGCAGGATACAGCTAACACAAGTCACCACCACTACAACGAGTCAGAGAGGGTACCTTGGCCTGTATGGCATCGGTCAGATCCTGCGGGGAGCTGAGGTCATGGCCGGACATGGGGTCACAGGACGTCTCATCCTCGTGTTTCTTCTCCTGGAACACCTGAAATGGTTCAATGGTACAGGTTTTTAGTTTTAGTAAGGTTTTACAGCGCTTGCAACTGCAAAAGGTCATATGAGCGCCAGAAGATTAGAGGTGTTACAAGAGAGTAACAAACATAAAATAGAAGGAGGGGAGATAAGGACGATAGATGTTTGATAGGAAAGAAGGAGCAAACCACACCAGAGCACCCGCCAACCACCCGCTAGTAAGGTTTTACGGCGCTTGCAACTGCAAAAGGTCATATGAGCGCCAAGGGGTAGATATCAACAGAGAAGTCCAAACGGGGAATCAGGCTTACTCTGCTCACCTCTCTTGCCTCAACAGCACAAAGCCTGCTTCGACTATCAAGGCACCCCGGAAATAGCAGTTCACAAGATAGTGACAAACATACAAAATAAGTAGAGGGAAATAAATGATGATAGTAAGGATGAGGAAAGAAAAAAAGTAGCAGTTTCCCCTACGTTGTTTCGGCACAGTATGAGCATGACATTGATAAATCATCCCATTTACAATTCTACTGTGCATAAGAACATGTTAATATCTCCCCTTTGGAAAATGTTCACAGGTTTAACGTCCCTATCAACACTATTAGGTTATTTAAGAGGCGGGACATCCGAGTTTAACGTCCATCTCCAAAAGAACCAAGCCAAATGGGAAATTCTTGCAAAGTGCCTTTCCCGAGGACACAATGTCGGACTGAGCGGAACACCTGACAGATGGAGTAGTAATTTATGTGGATTAAAAACACATCCGAAATGTCACCAGAATGACGACTAAGAAGACAATACACAAGACTCAAAAGTAGCACGTAATAATTATAATAAATGACATTCACATATACACAGGCTCTGACCGCTATACAATACAATACAACAGTAACTTGAAATATTGTACAGGTCAGACTGTACATGTATAGGTGGCTGTTAGAACAGGTTAGACTGTACACTACTACATAAATATAGATATATATAGATAGATATCTATCTATCTATCTATCTATTTATCTATCTATCTATCTATCTATCTATCTATCTATCTATCTATCTATCTATCTATATATATATATATCGCGGTGGAATCAGGCACTCGTCAATTTTTGGGTATATGTAACTAATGTTATTATCTTAAAGCTTGTTTGTTTGTCTTGCTTTCGGTGAAAAAAGTGCCCATCTATCTTCAATAGAAGTCGAGATAATTTCAATTGAAGGAGGTGAGGGTCGCCTTGTTTTTGAGGTAAAATTAGAGAAAGAATGGCCTCCAGTCCTTGGAAACTGTAAATTTACATTTTCGGTGCCTCTAATCAACATTTTTCAGTAAAATCCACATAGTATAGCAATGTATTTCTTAAAGGACATAATAGATGTTGAGCCAAAAAAATAAAAATTCCTCAAAAATTGCATACAGGAAGAAAAATGCCATTTTCTTCGATTTCATTATTTTGATGAGTGCCTGATTTCACCACGCTGCCTCACACACACACATATATATATATATATTACTCTCTCTATATATATACCTGTAACTGAATAAACAGAACCTCGTCGGAGTCTTCTCTCTGCAGAAATGTCAGGACGTCCAGCAGACCTAGGCCTGAAACAACAACCAGTCAAAGAAACTGCCAAACAATTCGTCAAACCATCTTGTTTACTTCAGATGTTATTGCATGTATTGCACTTTGACCCCTCACTTCTAAATAAAACAAAATTATATCAACTATGACTTAACTGTAGTATTTATCAACAACAAGGTTGGGATTGTAGCAGACGGTATATGTCCATAGCTGCTCAACCTTGTCTTTTCTATATAATTTAACTGTGTAAAACGGGCACCTGTCCAACATCACCGCGGCCACCATATTTTAACACACAACCCCTATCACACCAAGCAATAACACCTGTCTTAGATGGCCACCTTAGTCACTCCATTACATTTCGTCATGAATTGAGCATTGGCCCCTGGCGTTGTGGGCGAGCCGCCATAATCAAATCACCTGTCGTTGTTGATAGGTAGTCCCTCCAGCCGATCATGTTGCGTAGGCCCCTCCCACTGTTTTTTTACCAATAGGTAACAAATGTTCAGCTGCTGGTGAGGTAAGGGTGTGATCCCTCATACCCATAAGCCACGCCCAAAATTCATACACAAATCGTAAGTGAGATGAATGATCACTGTTTACCCAGTCTGTAACAAAGTAACAGTGGACATCAACATGGACTTGTGACAGAAGCGTCGCTCGTTCTTCGAGTGGTGGCGACCCATATGTTTGTTTTACCATAGCACTCAGTCCTCCTTGTCTGACACATTTCCTTTTATTGTCACCCTTGAACAAAAGCAGCAACAACAACAAAAAAAAGAAGAAAAAAAGAAGAAAAAAAACCCAGCGAAAAAAACAACAACAATGCGGCTACCTTCTGTTGAGACCTCAGAAAGGAATGGGTTCTTTTTTTGTCTTGATCAGTCCTGCCTAAGACGGCCACCTGTCTTATACGGCAACTTTTCTCCATAACAATGGGTGGCTGTCTTACACAGGTTTGACTGTATAAGTAAATAGCAGAAAGAAGGGATTTCTTGAGTAACTTGCAACCCTAAAGTATGAGATAAAGCAATTTGCAAACATCTGCAGACTGTAGTTTTTCTCTTCATATTCCGAATTATGAACATACCTATCAGCTCATTCCGCACACGCATCCTCTGACATTTTTCCGTGGTGGCGGCGATGATGCAGTTGATGAACGTGAGAATGGAGGTCTTGTGTGGGACAGTCTCGGCCATCTTGAGCTCATTGACGATAACGCTGAAGCGATGATATAGGTGGTTTTCTCGCTGAGGAATACATCGAAGCACCATTCAATGAAATAATCTGATTTCAGATTTAATGAGATATAAAGAGATTTTTAGTTAGAACATAATTTACTGTTTATATAAATGTGCTGCATTTGTATTTGTGGAAGAGCTCAGAGCCTGTGTTCTTCAGGGCTGAGCACTATATAAAATTCAGAATTATACCAAAAATAATGTTTCTATTGGCAAAAGTGTCCCACATCTTATCTGACAGTTCGGAGAATCTGTGATGCAAGGACAGAAATCAATGAGAAGGAGGAAGACATTTTTGTCGAGGTAGAGTGGTCAAGGAGTTTGCCAGAGGGTCACTTGTTGAGTGCAGGAGAAATCCCAGCAATTATTTTGCTATTTTTAAGAAGCAGACGTACAATCATTGTCCATGTTTCTTGGACTACCAAGAGGGGGAAAGTGATGGTGCTGAAGTGAGGAAAAGACAGATTCTATATGGTCTCAAACAGGCAAAAAGGAGTGTTACATTGCCTTAACTCTTTAACCATGCAATCCAAAATCACGTTTGCGCGTAATTCTCTCGAGTTTGAGGAAATAAGACCCAACATATTACGTTTTTAAAAACGCTTGTTTCGCGTCGAACTGATCAATAAAATGTTACCCAGACGTAGATTTCATTTATCTTTGACTTCCGGGTCAAACTAGAGGCTTGTTAGCTCGTACCATAATACAATAGTAACTTTGCATTGGACAGTGGTACCGTCCAGCAACGGTTACGGACCTCAACAACCGGACGCTGCCACTGTCCAGACATGGTTAAAAGGTTAAACTAGCATCAGTATTACAACTTGAGAAACTAAATTAGCTTTTAATGTGTTTGTCACTTTTGTTTCTTTGAGCAATGAGGAGTACAGAGCCACAATAACTTATTGAATAACAGTCATTTAGTCAGTGTTGGAAAAAAAAAAAGCAAAAAAGAACCAAAAGAGGAAAAGTAAAGTCTAAGTAGGACCTACAATTGGCGCCCTCCAACCACCCACATAGTCAGAAGAGTTGAGTACCTTGTGTGTCTCTAAAGCTTCCATGACACGTCTGTAGGACATCTTGCTGTACACAGCGACGGCTGACAGGATTTCAAGGACAAGTTTACGGGGCAAAGTGTTCACAATATCCATTCCTAGGATAAAAAACAAGAGTTAGTATAAGTCACAAATAAAATCTGGAAAACACTAATAAAACAAAACTCGAAAATCCTTAAATTTTAATCAGTGAAGGATCTTTCAAAAAATAAAAACACCAAATAAACAAATTTTAACATGAATACTCTCCATCAATCATCCAATTTAAAAGATTTGGCACACATTTTCAGTCACTTTTCAGCATCAATGGCAGATCACAACAAATCCACAAAAAAATATAATTGTTTTTGTTTTAGTAAGAGTTTTACGGCACTTGCAGCACAATAAGGTCTACATAATAAGTGCCGAAATTAGAGGTGTTACAAGAGAGTAACAAACACAAAAAAAGGAGGGGAGATAAAGAAGATAGACGTTTGATCGGAAAAAAGAAGCAAACCACACCAGAGCACCCGCCAACCACCCACAAAAAAATTGATTAACGCATCTGACTCAAATATTATTATTATGATTATTGTTGTCAACAAATAATTGTTCATTTATAAATATTATTCTACCTGGAACTTTGTTTGTGAGTGTGAGTGTATGCATTATGTGTGTGTATGTGTACACAGATGTGTGAAAATGTGTTTATGGGTGTGCAGTGAGTGTGTGGCAAAACACCGAACCAATATGTCAGGATCTGGACAATAAAGATTAATTTTATCTTAAACATATCGTGACCCCAGAGCTTTCTTGTCGTATCTCCAATTTTAATAACAATGAAAACAGTTTATAACAAAGAGTGAACTTAGAAGATGTCACATTTTCACTGCTTTAAAAAAATGGAGATACGACAACAAAGCACAGAGGTTGCGTTATATGAAAATAAAATTTAAAAATAAACAAGATAAGCAAATGGACAAACTTGCGTTACATGAAGGGAACGAACACAAACCTTTTTTTTTCTAGTATAGGTTATACGGCGCTCGCAACTGCATAAGGTCATATGAGCGCCAGAAGAATAGAATAATAGATGTGTTACAAGAGAGTAACAAACATGAAAAAGAAGAAGGGGAGAAAAGGACGATAGATGTTTGATAGGAAAGAAGAAGCAAACCACACCAGAGCAACCGCCAACCACCCACTCACAAACCTTTGAGCAACTTCCTGACTCCAGATGAGCTGTTGACCAGAGCGTCTATCCCGACCCGGGAGTTGAGCACCGCCCTCACACATGACAAACAGTCCATCTGGAGGATAGCGTCGGAGAACCCCGAGAAAGCCGGACCAGTCATGTGACCCAGCGAGTCCAGCAGACTGTCCAGACCGTCAAGGGAGACAAATTCCTGAAATATTTTTTAAAACCTGAACAAATATCCACAAGAAAATCATACCAGTCATAAAACACATGATTGAGCATCATTTTTCTCAAACAGAATTCTGAGAATTTTCATTTCAAAGTTTAATTGCTATTTACGTTTTTTAACACTTTTCATCTGCGCAGATTGCGCAACACTTTAACTCCCCGCGGAACATGCTATAAATCCCACCGTCGCCAATCAGAGTCCCGTTCTGAAAAGGGACGGCTTCCTACCGTCGCAGCGGAGGCAAAGTGTCGAAAAAGGCATATAATTTTTATAAAACTTCAACTTGACATGGGAGAGACTTTTCCCTATCCTACTGTACCAGAGAGAAGAAAAAAAGGTTTTATTCACTCAGAACAGAAAGGAAAATATAAAACAAAAAATCTGATCAAACAAACTACACAAAGCATAAATTTATATTCCAGCATTGTTATGACTAAAAAAAAATGACTGCAATATTTGTTAAAGATTTGCATCTCCTGTGAAAGGAAAAAATTAATTGACCTTTTTTCATCTCTTACAAGCAAGTGTTGCATTTTATAAAGCCAAATGTAAATCAACAAATTTCAATTTCAGTTACAAAATCCTCCACCTTTTCAATTTTTTACAGGGTATTAAAATTAGGCCAAAGGCCATATATGTCAATATAGCTTCTGGATTAAGAACAACAACACCACCAACAACAACAACAATTTCATGTCATTTTCAGAAACCTGAAGCCATGCTGCTGAGCTCGACTCCAAGCGGCTGCGTAGAGCAAAGTACATCTGCACCGAGGGCGAGTGTGAGTAGAGCACGCAGGCCAGCGGCTCACAACCGTCCATCTGATGGGCCAGCTGTTGGGACGACACCGTCACGTCAAGGTCGACCGCCTGGCCACCGGCGTTTGCCAGCATCATGATGATTGGTGGGGTGGGTTAATGTGTTGTGCGTTGGACAGCAGACGCCAGTCAGTGAATAGATCTATCTTCCACTTGCTGTCCTTGTAAAAGCCTCATGACAAAACTGATGAAGATAAAAACGTACTTTCAATTAATTTCATCATTTTGGCAGTCTAGCCGTACTTATTCTAAATATGATGGCTAGACTGACCATTTTAAAAAAAATAGGCCTACTGAATTGTAAATATATAAATTTTTAGTGTGCAGTACCTAAAGTACTTGTATTTGAGACGAAACCAGGTGCCTTAATGACAGTGCATGTATTTTAAACCCCCTGTTTTCTAACATTAATTGGGCCTAAGATAAGTACCGTACTAGACCTTAAGTACGGCTAGGCCTAGACTTCTTGTCTAGCCGTCTTAAGTACGGGTAGACAGCCAGGCTAGCCGTACTTAAGGACGGCTAGACTGTCAGGCTAGCCGTACTTAATATTGATGGCTGAATTGTAAATTAAATTTTTAGTTTGCTATGCCTAAATTATTTGTATTTCAGACAAAACCAAAAGGTGCCTTACTGGCTTGTATGTGTATTTGAACATGAATAATTGCTAGATCTAGATCTAATGAGACCTGTGTACTTAACAGGCTTGAGTCGATAGGGCCAAACCTAGATCTAAGTACGGCTAGACTAGCAGTCTAGCCGTACTTAAGTACAGCTAGACTCTCAGTCTAGCCATACTTATACGGCTAGCCACTTTGTTTTGTTTAAGACAAGATCAAGATAATAAAATGTCTTTTTTTTTTAAAAAGGGTATTTAGGCACGTGTGTGGGAGGGGGGGGGGGGATGTCGATGATGTGTTAATATGTGATAGTGATAGAAGAAGATCTAGATCTAGATCTAGATTCTAGATCTAGATCTAGATATCTAGTCTACATTCACTCAGAAAAATACTCAAACTTAGACAGCATGTCATTTTTAAAAAGGTAGGTGTTGATTTTTAAAAATTTTAAAGAATACTTAATCAGTGACTGTAGACTACAAGATCTAGATCTAGATCTAGATCTAGATCTAGATCTAGATACTATTCCCCCTTCTACTCAGTTTGGTTATTGTTATAATTAATCAGTGACTACAAGGCTAGCTTCTAGACCTAGATCTAGATCTAGAGCTACTGTAGTACTGTAGGCTACTGTAACAAAGACGACTCTGGAGTCTTGAACAAGGATCTTTTAGACAGTAGATCTAGATTTCTAGATCTCGTACTGTAAAACTTTAACTAAAACTAAAGTAACTTAGAATCTCTCTAGATCTCTCGATCTATTTTTTAGATAGATCTAGAGGCCTCTATCTAGATCTAGATATCTAGATAGATCTAGAATCTATAACTAAAGGTTGTAATTAAATTACAGAGTCTGAACTGTCCAGGTCTTGACTAATTTAGACCTTACAAGGTTTTTCCATACAAGAATTCAAGCATCCATTGATCCACAGACAACAAAAACAACTTTGAAAAACACAACAACAATAGGAGCAACCGCAGACAAATCTTACCTGCCTGGGCCCAGGTAAAATGATCGATGACTCACCTGTCCCTCTTCACCTCCCCTCTTTGAAATGCCCGCCGATGCCAACAACCGGGTTGTGTTGGTGTTTTGCGACCTAATTGAACTTTCGGTAGGTATTATTCTAAAGATATTTTAAAGCAGTTTTAGCTCTGTTCTTTAATTTTCAATCAATTTTTATAGAGTCTATTAACTTTAGTGACAAATAAACAAAATAATCATCCTGTTTGCGACATTGATATCAGGATTTGGGTGAATATTACCATTATGGTACAATAAAATATAGATCCACAAACAGTGATAGTGTCGCTGTTCTGACAAAAAACACTGTCTGTCTGTCTGTCTGTCTGTCTGTTTGTCTGTCTGTCTGTCTGTCTGTCTGTCTGTCTTTCTCTCTCTCTGTCTCTCTGTGTCTCTCTCTGTGTCTCTCTCTCTGCCTCTCTCTCTCTCTCTCTCTCT